ACAGAGCAGCACCTACCGGACCGGGAAAACGTGCAAAGGTTAGGATTAGGACAGCAACTAAAATGAACAGGGTCACCTTTGGTGGTAGAAACGTCCTCACAGTAACACTTTCTGCATAAATTTATACCTCGCCCTTACGACAGTGAGAGAGCCAAAAAATGTAGTAAGCAAGGTTTGAGGTGTGAAAAACATCTATGATCCGAGCAAAGTCTTGAGATCGGTAGTTGATGCATTATCTCAGATGAAAGACGTTTTTTACAAACATTCTAACTCTGTTCGAAAACGGTATAGAAGTCACGAGGAGGTGTTGAAGGCTATCGTTGGTCAAATATTCAAAATAAACGGGGTATGCTCCAAGATGGGCTAGCTAAGATATTAATTCATACCACTGTCCGAAACTGCTCCAAAAGCTGGATAGAATGGTAATAAAACGAGGCGGGCCGTGCGCTGGTGTGGACGTGGCCAAAATCAAAAATCCTTGGCTCTGTTGAAATGAATTTTTTATGGTCAGGCACAAATNTGCGCTGGTGTGGACGTGGCCAAAATCAAAAATCCTTGGCTCTGTTGAAATGAATTTTTTTGTGGTCAGGCACAAATTAAAGCTGTGATGCCAATCATGGTAAAAAGGGAGGCCCAAAATCGTCAGTCGCAATATACCAATTATGACTGGGAATCCAAATCAAGACAACCAGCACCATATTCGAAGACTTGTTCTACCGTCGCGTGTGTTTTGTCAGAAAGTGAAACTTCACTTCATCGTGTCCTCAGGAATCGTGAAGAGGATAATAATTAAACCTTTGACGTCGTTAAGTTCTATTTAAGAATGCGTCCCTGTATTTGACTTCCATTCAGAATCATAGTGGCCTTCAGAATCCGGATGTGGTCTATGGTGAACACCATGAGGCTAGTGGTGTGCCAATACACAAGCCAGTGATGATATCCTTTCGGGCGAGTTTGGTAGCAACCAGCCAACCTCGCAATGATGAAAGGCATGGTTGGTCTGAGCAAAAACCGAGCCGGGATCCTAGAGTGTGACAGTATGCTCCTCTTGCCACTACTACCCTTCCGCCTAGAAGACATACAGATGCTTGAACTGGAAATGGTTATGACAAGTAGATATAGAGTAGTAGCTGATGTTGCGGAGAACCGATATTAACCGCCTATCTCGTGAAGGAAGCTTTGGAAACGGACTGCAAGAAATTTCTAGGCTGCCTTTTGGCAACCATGGTACCAAATGGCCTTTAATTCTTCCTAATTTCTTTAAAAATGATATACTTACCCTAAAATTCCATAGATAAGAGTGGTTAAATCTACCGGTGAAAAATGAATTGGAATGAAACTGAAATTGAATGCAGTCACCCTCTAACATGATGGATGGATAAATTAAACTTCGAAGAAGAAGTTAAGAAGAAATTTCGCCCCTTAACTCCAAACCCCGCCCACTTAATAAACAATTCATATAGAAAAATAGCGATTTTAATGGATCGCTGTTTTTCTATATGAATTGTTTATTAAGTGGGCGGGGTTTGCAGTTAAGGAGCGGAGCTTCTTCCTAACTTCTTCTTCGAAGTTTAATTTATCCATCCATCAAGTTAGAGGGTGACTGCATTCAATTTCAATTTCATTCCAATTCATTTTTCACCGGTAGTTTCAACCGCTCTTATCCATGGAATTTTAGGGTAATGGTTTTGATTATTGGCAAATGAGCGGTTCCCCAGCTAAGTCGATTTTTAGTCTTCGCCATGTATAGCCATTTTCGAGGTTGTCTAACCAGAAAGCGAACAGGTGTTGTTCAAGGATTAATAACTAGTCTGGACTTTCTAAAGAATCAAAGACCTACCTACACGAGCGGAAATCACTTGTAGTGCCTTCCTATATATGTCGCTATGTCTTCGTGTGTGCTGGCTTTTGATTGTTTATTTTCAAACAAAAAAAGGCGTAGAGACCGCCCAAGTCTACTCAGAGCATTTTTCTTTTTCTTTCAATTTTTATTGGCAAGTTTGGGACTGTGTCCCAGCCCTTCGAGAAGTTTGGAGGTCCACGTTCTCCGAAGAGCATAAGGTTTGAGCAGCCAGGTCCAATCATTATTGTGAAAGATTTTCAGCGTTTGAAAGTCACGAGGACACATGCAGACCCGTGAGATCATCAGCTCAGTGCTTGTTTTTCCAGTGGAGTCGCTACCAATTACTAGTCCTCTAGGGCTTAAAATGCTTTGTTGAGCTCAATTCTGGGTGGCGATTGTTTGGAAACCACTCACATAGAGTCTTCATACGGCGGTTGCCCTGCCTTTTCCATTTCAGCAGCAGTTTCTGTTCTAACAATAATCTCCATTACAGTTTTTACGTTGTTTTCAAATTCATAAGCAGGGAACAGGNNNNTTTTTTTGGATAAATTCTTGTAAACAAGCTGTTGACGAGAAAAGTCCTCAATTACAATTAGTTGAACTGAGAGCATTAATGGTTCCAGATCCCCGTAAACCCGTGAAGACACTTTATGATTACTGTGGGTGACTCCTTACATACATAGATATATAGCTTTCTATTAATACAACCTATAATATACCCATGCAGTGGATCCATCCTATCAGGGTTAGGTAAATGGTAACGACCGAACGTCCCTGGCTTCGGCAAGGTCCTCATTAGTGTAGTGAAATCATAATTTTGATTGAGTAAGCATTCAGATCGGAGCTCTAGCCACATTATTTGACAGCCACTCATGTGTAGGGTTTTCAATAAGTAACATGCATCTTATAATTCACTTTTTTGAAGTAATGGCAGTAGTAAAAAATGCTTAGTGTGACTCCCTCCTAGAAGATGGGCAGCACCCTTTAGGAGACGTTATGCAGACATCAGGAGCCATGTCCCATGTGTGTAGTGACAACGAATCTACATAGGAGGTTCCCTGTAGTGCGCGGATTGTCATTCTAGGCTGTTCTCATCATCACACCGCACAAAATGTAATCCGCTGTAGTCATGCTGAACGTTCGTTAAGAGGAGGCTCCTCGATAGATGATGCAGTCAATGGAGATCTACTCAAAGGTTTTACCAACTTAAGGGAGGAATGGCAGTCGCTTCTATTATCCGGGCATTTTCTTTTTCTTCCTCAAAAAGTACACTCATAAATGGCACCAGAGCTTTCTGCACACATGATGTCCCGGAAGAAAACTGGCCCAAACTTGCATGTACCGCATGGCAATGTAAGGTTGTTTCCCGAATCGTCTGTATTCTGAAAGAGGCGACCTAAAAAAGAACGACTGGAATGTCCCTGTTGAAGCTTGCTATCCTTTTATTTGTTTCGAGCTGTTACTGTGTTTACCAAGGTGTATTAGGGATCAGAGCTTCTAATCCACTGTGTAACGGCGTAGTAAGTCAGTAAGTTAGTCGATGATTGTGGGATATTCCACATTGGGAGTGCATTTGCGAGGGACTCCCCGCACTTCCACCGTAAGCGAGGAAACTATTTTTTTCGTTAGAAAAATTTCATTCGTCCCTGCTACTAATTCAAGTCAACAGGCAAAACATCTGCAGCCATAAATGGCTCACAACAGGCTTCACGATCTAAGACGACAACACACCGTCTCAGACTGAGAGGACGACTTCCGAGAAAGTCCCGAAAAATTGTTTCTTCGAAGATGTGGGTAGTTCAGTTGCTTGTTTACATCTCAGAGGAAATCACAGACATCGATTGGGAGCCTCCAACAATGTCCCTTGTACGATTCCCACGGTAATCATATTTGTTTATCTTGCCCGGGATGATTAGGTAGTATCGAGTTCCGACAGCGCACACACCTGGATTCAGGTGATTTTTTTTTNTTTTTTTTTCAGGATACAAGGAAATCCGGCATTATTATAACCGGTGTAAAGAATTGTATATTAGAACACGCAAGTTCACAGATATTCGGTATTACAAGTAATCGGGGTTTTTTTATTTATCATTTCGAAAAAAAATCGTTTTTTCATGAGGAACGAACCTCAATCAATGACCTAAAGATTAAAACAAAGTCTTTTCGCTTTGATCAATCCCGTCTGCAGGATGCGCCATCGCACTCGGCTTCCATTCATAATCGTGATGGCGTAATGAATACGTATGTGACCTATACAATGGATTGCAGTGGCCAGCTGACGTACAACTCAGGGCTTTTTTTCTTCCTAGACGTTTCTTCCCAGACGAGTCTGGTACTAAATGTCGACCCGAAAGGATGGAAGACTTGATTGGCCTAGGCGGATATCGATCCGGGATCCGAACCGTAACCGTGCGCATGAGATAGTGCGCCACTTGCCACTACATCACCTAACGCCCTATCAATGACATAATCTCCATATTTTTTGAATCCTTTGCCATCTTCCTGATAATTTCGTGGCTCCATTCTCACAATACTTCCTTGGG